AAGAGTGCAAGGCAGGGCTCAGAAGTTGGATGGATGAGCCACAAGTTAGTGGGCAGTGAAGCTGTTCTCTCTAAGGGAGACTCAGGAATGCTTTTGACTGCAACTAACAGCAAGGGTGAGTTTGCCTCAGGAGACAAAGCCTGCAATGAGACAGCTCCAGAGGGTGGGCAGGGTGGGGGAGGTGATGTGGGAGTACTGGCACCACATCTGCAGCTGATTATACCTCCTCTGGTCCTTGTGGGTGCACAGCTGGGGGCACTGGCCATACAGGAGGGCAGACTCAAGAGAAAAAAATGGACATAGCTACAAAGCCTGACTCATGAGGGTGACAAGGAGTTTCAGTGCTCAACGATTACACTGATAGCTCTGGATGCAATTCATTCCTGCCTGCCTGGTCTCTAGAGCAGATTGATGTTTGGCTGTCTCATTTCAGCCCTTGGCCCTTTCTTGACATACCCCTGGGTTTCAGCTGTGGACTGAGACATTTCCTAGGCTTCCAATCTTTGAACAGCACAGCCGGAAGACTGCAGCAGGAAAATGGGTTTGACTCCACGGCCACTTCCCATGGGAACAGCTTTGCTTCCCTGGGCTTAGGATGAAAGTCCCTTTCCTGGTCTCTCTGATTCCCAGGTCACATCATAATCCTCCTATTTTTATAGAATGTTCTGTGTCATTCTCTCCCCACCAATACTGGCGGGAGGCCCCTCAAGGGCAGCAACCCTGATTGATTTCTCTCTGGATCCTTAGCATCAGGTGTTTGGACACAGTAGCGTGCAGACGAGTTTGTTGGATGATTAAATGATATTTATTCAGCTCAGGGAGCATTTTAAAATTTTCCCAACCAATAACATTTATTCAGTGCTTGCTCTCTGCCCCATGCACTGTTACATGCAGGCAAACAAACAAAAATATGAGAGAATAGACACTGCTTCCCAGTGAGAGTTTGTGTTCTGAAGGGGACAAGTCAAGAGAAGGGCACAGTTTTCCACCCCAAATTATCAAATCAGATTTGCCTGCTCCAGCCAAAGGGCAAAGGGTAATGCTTACGTTGAGAAGGAGCGACGCCTTGCATTGAAATACCTTTCATGACCCTAAGTGCCACCATCCCTGTCTTTTAAAATTGCTTCCATTTCCACTGTGACCTTTGTATAATGAGTTGGTCAAACAGAGTTCTGGCAAGGAATGGGAAAACTGCCACTGTTGTCTGTGCATCTGCACGAGCCCTGACTCTGCCTCCTTCATGTCCCTCCACATTCCTATTCGCTGTTTGGATTGCAGAGAGGCACTGGGCAGGCATCTTCATTAAACTGTTCACAGTGATTCATAGACACCTCCCCCAGAGGTTACACATAATTCAGACCCCATTGGCCTACTGGTGACAGGTGCCTTTAAATTGCTCCATCCAGGACCTGTGACCTTGCGTTTGCACATTTGAAAATTCATTGTCTGTGCTGGGGTTCAATTTATCTGCTCAGTTGTGCCATTCTAAGGTTCCCTGGCCCTCTGCTCCTGAACAGCTAAGGAGTCCCCTGACTATGCCATCGCTGGCGCTGACAGTATGTCCACTCTGTATAACACCTCAGCCGCATTCAAGAAGGTGCTCTCAGAGGGGGACATTTACTAGACAGGGGGCCTAAGGCAGCAAGCCAGGAAGTAAGACAATAACGTCTGCCCTCCATGCTGTGTGATCTTAAGAGTAGAGTCAGAGCAAGGAATGGAATCCAAACTTTGCCACTTGGCTTTGGAGTGTCATGAGTGTTAGCACAGCCTCTCCCACAGTTCTGAGCACCTTCTGTCTCTGCGATCCTCCCTGCTGGCTTATTTCTGGCTTGGCACTCAGACTTGGCTGAATCGTGGAGAAGAAGATGCCCTTGGTCACCGAGACCTAACTGGATAAATCAATTCATCACAAACTGTGGACCTTTGGGACCTGTGCTGAAGAAGTGGTGGATTGAGGGAGGGGGAGTATATCATTCTCACAGCTTTCTTACTTCAAGAGGAGAGCGGTGGGCATAAGGAGCAGGGGACACACGCTGACACTCCCACCCCCACCCCCACCTCAGCCTCCGCTTAGCTTCAATGCTCACCTTCTCTCTTGTTTGCCAGCCCCAGCCCAGGCAGCCTCTCCCTCTTATCAGGGGCCAACACCGATCTGATTAGCACCAGCTGACCACTATGGCAGGGAGAGTTTGAGAACGCTCTACCTGGAGTGCTTGGGACCAGAACTGTTCAGGATTTTCTCAGGTTTTGGAATACCTGCATATACACAATGAGGTAACTTGGAGAAGGGACCAAAGTCTAAATAAAATTAATTTATGTTTCATATACACTTTATACACATGCCCTGAAGGTAATTTTATAAATTTTTAGTGCACCTGCATTTTTTGACAGTGATCCTCCCATGAGGTCAAGTGTGGAATTTTCCACTTGAGGGTGTTATGTTACACTAAAAAATCTTTGGGAATTGGAACATTTCAGATTTCAGATTTTTGGATTGAAGATATTCAACCTGTACTTTACCTTGGTAACCTCAATTAATTATTATGGCCACCCTATTAGGAAACGGTAACTGATAAGGTGATCCTCATTCTGCCGACGAGGAAACTGAAACTCAGAGAGGCGAAGTCTTGTTCTCAAAGTCACACAGCAGCTAACAGACCAACCCAGAGGTTGACAAGGGGATGTGACTGTGGTGACCATATACCAGTTGATATGTCCAGGGAGAACCCCTATCATTTTCCTTGAACAGGAGAGTTCTTGCCATACTCTGGCTTCCTGGAACACCTTCAGCTTTCAAATTGCACCAGTCTTTGCATGAGAAGGTACACATTTCTGCTTTCCTTTAAAAACACCCAAAGTGACAGAAATAAGAGTCATCTTAGGACACTGGGCACCCCTCTTTTTTTGACTGCTTCAAGGTACTTAGGCTGATGGTAACACATTGCCTCACGAAATTCCAGCTGTGCGACTAATAACAAAGGCAACCATAACAGCTGACACTCATTAGGCACCTGTTATATTGGCTCTGTGCTGAGTGAAGGAGGCAGGTTGTCATCTCCACTTTAGAGGAGGAAAGAGGCACAGAGAGGTTGTGTCTTGCCCAAGGTCACACAGCTGGTCCACAGCAGAGCCAAGCCATTGACTGAGCCTTTTAAGTCCCGTGCTCAGGTCGGGTGTGCTACATGGATTAGCACAGGCCATTGCCAGTGAGCTGGTCAAGGAAGATGCACTAAGATCCAAGCCAGAGGAGGGCAGAGGAGCCCAGGGCAGTAGTGTGCAGTGGGGCATGCATGAGGGTCTGGCCAGGGAGCAGAGTCCAGGGAGCTGCAATGGGATTTAAGCAAGGCCCTGAAGGAGCAAAGGATGCCAGGGACAAGGAAAGAAATTTGTAGCAGGGAGCTGGAAGAGGAAGAGATACAGGGACAAGATTTGTTGGCGTCTCAATTTTGTATCAATTCTAGTTAGGGCTTAGTTGAGTTATTTGGCCCAGTGCCCTATGTGGACTTAATATGGGAGGCGTTTGGCTCAAGGAGCTGGGAGAAAATAACTTTAGACTGTGTGTGTGTGTGCGTGCCTGCATGCAAGGAAGAGATGCAGAATGGAGAACGCCAAATAATTCTCATTTTGCCATTTTGACGGTCACAGCTGGCCTTAGGATAGCTGTTTTGGTCTGTGTTTTGTCATTCCATATACACGCAGGGCTGCTGTACCGAAATTCTGCTGGCCTGATGGCTGTTTAAATTGCTGTGCAGTTTTCAGGGTAAGGTTTTGTTGGTGAGCTCTCCAGGTCACCACAGCCCAGCTCATTCCCTTCCAATGAGTGGCACTATTTTTCACTTTTAGTAGCACATTGCCGCTGGTTCAACTGTCTCCCTCTTCCGTGGCCTCTGAAGAGCATTTACAGGTCCTGGCAAGTTACTACTGCTCTTCATACTGCCATACATCCCAGCAACCCAGGCACTTCTAACTTTTAATTTCTCTTAAAATGAGCTTCGAACTTCCAACCATTCCCACTTGGATGCTTTTACAACTGACAGTGTTTTAGCTTTATTACTTACAAAGAACAACTGTATGAGACACATTTTTGGCTTGAAAATTCCAACTAGTTCCATGCCTAGGGACAGCTGAACTTATGTCTCAATTTCCTCCCCTAGGGACCTCCCTAAATATCCTTTCAATTTGGAGTTGGGATTTTTTTTTGTCATTTTAAAGAAAGGTACTGTTTGATGGAGGGGGTCCCAAGAAAAAATGAAATTTCTTTGAGTTCTTATACTCTCTATAGGATACCCCACTGCCACAGAGCAGTTCAAGGGCAGTGAAAGGAGTGTGGGGTTGATGTTTGGAAACAATTTAAAGTTTTCAGCTTCACTTCCATTTGTATCTCTAGATGCAAGGTCAAGGCCAACATTATCTTTACATTCAAAGAGCACCCCTATGGCTGCAAAGGCAATAATAGATGGTGCTAAGAGTCACAGGCACTTGGAATTTATTCTCACTGTACCAGACATGGGACCTGGAGCAAACCTCTCTGGGCCTCAGTTTTCTCTTCTGTAAATGGAGATATTAAGAACACTCATTTGATAAAAGAATAGATATGACTGTGCCCACAGAGAGGCTGGTGCACACTGAGTGTGTTCTCTGCCATTGACACAGAGAATGCTTGGCTTCAATCTCTCCTCCATCAACCACAATATTAATGGTCTAAGATAGAGAGGAACCAGTACAGGGTGCATAGTAGCTAAACCATGGATTTTCTTTTTTTGGTGGTTGCTGTCAGAATGGATGGTTGATTTTTATTATTAGGTTCTGAAACTGCCTGTTCAGTAACATTTCTAATTCATTAGCTAAAAATCCTCTTTGACAATCAGACATTTATGCCTATGGTATGGAATGGCCCTTAAAATAGAAAAGAACAAAACATGAGGTAGAGTCTGTCTTGTGGTAGGTATGCAATGTCACTCTAATTTGCTGTTGGCCAAGCTCTTGTAAATCAAACTCACCACACTGAATCCTTGGTGAGTTTGGAACTCACGCTCCCATCTTCTTCCAGGAAGATGTCCATTTGCAAATTGGCATCATTATCGTGGGCTGAGAAATAATTGGTAACAATTCTTGCTGGAATTCCAAGGCATCGCAAAACTATAGGAAAGAACTATGATTAGACACATCACCAAAATTCAGCAAATGCACAGTGAAAAAAATTCCTTCTTGTGGGACTTTCTTCTTTCCCCATATGAAAAGCCCCTTGGACATGTCCTCAACTGTTCTATACTGAAGGAGGGTGACTTGGTCATCTCCGTGGGGACAGGAAAGAGACATCTCCCTCTGGTGTGTGATCCTTCGGAAACTTAGTGTCAAATGAAGCCAAGTGGAACAGAATCTCAATAGCATGGTTCTAATAGCTTAGTTTCTAATCATAGGTCACCAAAGTAGTAGCATTTTAGACCAGTTACTAGGATCATGTTCCTAAAAAACAAAACAAAAACCAGCTAACAGAAAGTTAGGAATTTACAGAGCAAGTCCCCATGGGCTTTGTTTTTCCTGGCTGCAGTTCACTCTTGTGACACTCGTAGTAGGGTGACACCACACATTCTTTTTAATTATTAGATAATAAATTACTTGGATGCATCTCTTGCCATATGTACCTATTGATTAAGCTTAATCCAAATGCCCTCTCTGGCTCCCAGGATGCCAGACATCAGGGCTCATTGAAAATAATTCAGCTGACATTTTTAAGATTAATGACTTGGTTTGCCTTTTTTTTTTCCTTCCCTCAGAATAGTTTAGCATTTTTAAACAAAGACTATACACCTCCTTCTACAGAACAACCTTGGAAGTCCAAACCTGAGCCTGGTATAGATCCAAATGTCCTCTTCCTTAAATGACTTGATCTCAAACACTACACACGGGTGGCAGCCACCACCAACGGCCCACTCCCATTTTCCTCTGTTGATTTGCAGCCCCTGTTCACCCATAGTCTTACCAAAAAAACAATCAGCACTCTCATTCTACTGCTGGTGAATTCTAATGTGAATTGCTGAACACTAGTTCCTGTCATCACAGAATGGCACTTGTTCTAGAGTCTGCTTTACTCAGAATTTTAAGATAGTCAGAGTTTGACTTTGGGGCACCTGCTCTGCCTCCCTTCTAATGACCCTCTTAAGATTCACTCTTTTCTTTTCTTGCAGTATTGGCATTTGAATTCAAGGCCTTGTGCTTGTTCGGCATGTGCTCTACTGCTTGATCCATAGCCCCAATCCTTTTTTGCTTTAGTTATTTTTCAGGTAGGGTCTCATTTTTTTGTGTCCCCCCTCTCCCCCCAGGGCAGGTCTGGGGAGCTGGGGAAGGCAATCCTCCTACCTATATCCTCTCATGCAGTTGGGATGACAGTGCCTGGCTTCTTCAGTTTTGCTCTTATTGTGAGTCCCCAAAACGTGTTTCTGTCTTTTCTTAATTTACCACCAAAGCCTGTTTTCAGGCACAAATCTGACAATTATTTTATGCAAAAGGCATAAATAGAGGTAAAGTGTCACTATTTTAGCTGGTTCTAAGCCCAAAGGAATTGAGATCGGACTGTGAGATGGTAGGGCTAAGGACTTGGGTCCGTTTTGTCTTCCTGGAGTATTTTGCAAGAGTGACAATCTCTCACTGCCTCGCCTTGGAAGCCTCGAGGGAGGGAGACTCCCACTACCTTCAGCTCATCATGAAACTCAGCTTTCTGCCTAGCACTTCAGAGACCAGTGCTTCTAGGAGACCGATTCTTTTGGCTTATATTGCTTCCAGGACATAATATATTCCTTCAATCCTCGGGTATATCCAAAAGGCTAAGGAAATATTTATATTCAGCTGATGTCACAGGGAAACAAACAAACAAAGTAAAATTTACAATTTCTTTCAAGTTGGGTCACTGGCTAAGTCCTAGATAGTCACAACTTTGAGCTAAAAATGGTGGATTTCTCAATCATTTTAAAAAATCACCTTGCCTCCAGCCTTTCTCTCTTTCCTCTCTGATTTAAAAAATGCTAACTAGGTAAAACATTCTTTATTAATGAGCAGAGAGAAAGGACACTCTGACTTGAGCTTAATGTTTCTCCAAGGCTGTAGAAATGGCATTCGAATGAAAAACATTTCTAATGATGAAGATACAAGGAAATAAATGCATTTTTAACATAATCACTCAATTAACTATAACATTATCTGGGTCTAGAGAGGCAAATGCCATTTTGAAAAATGATGCATGAGCCTGAAGAGAATAATTCTGTTCCTGGCTAGGTATTGGGTGGATTAAATACTGGAGGAGCAACTGGGGCGATAAAGACCGTTCGTGCGTTCTGATATCTAATTTCTCAGGGGCATTGAGACTCACGTGGATTGGGGGAGATGAGACCACTTACCACAATCCTTTTTATAATTAGAATAAAAATTAAGAGGATATAGTTATATAACTTTTCAACAATAAATAAGCAAATAAGCATATTGATGCAACTTCTCAATAGCAAATCAGCAGTATATATCTTACCTTAGTAGTTATTATTTTAGTTTAATCTTTAAAAAGTGGATTACCTCCCCTGCCCCTGCATCCTTTCTTGGCCCCACTGCTTGGGTGTTGAATGGTGGATCATGCAGGAAACAGCCTATCATTCTTTCCATAAAGATTCTGCAACCAGAGAGACTCTGAGCATAGTTGGCCCAGTACAATTTAATTACGCATTGACTGCATCCCAGAATAGTCACCCATAAATTCTATAGAGCCAACAGGGGCTGCTAAGTCTCTTTGGCAGGTAATAGACAAAGTGTCTTGAAGTGAAATTTCCTTTACATTAAAAAAATACTATTCAATTGATACTCACACGTGTTAAAAACACCAGCAAACACCCAGCACTGACCATACCGGACTGGATTCTCAGAGCTCTTGTATTCAAGTAGAATGTCAACACTTCCAGTCCAGGCCGATGGGGGGACACCATAGGCATAGATATTGTCCCAGGATCCAATGAGGACACCTTCATCATCTTTGGCATTCACCTAAATGAGGTGATGAGAGGTGAGAAGGAAAAACCATTATTTAGATGAGTCCCACTTAGACTATGATACTGGGCAAGCTAAAGCTTCCAGTGCCTTCCATATGTCCTGATGGTGGAAACAGTTTCACTTCTGTTCGATTCACCATTATGTTGTCAGGGAAAATGATGCAAAAGCTAGGTGTACAAAGGGGAGACCAAATAACCAAGATTGCCTCTTAAATTGCATATTATCACAGAGAGTGAGGTTGAATGGCAGATATGAAGACTCTTCATATGATTTGGAGAAGTTCCACATAGGGCACTTGGCGTGGACTAGAATGACATGAGGAAGAGAGGTGGAAGATCTGCAAAAGAGAGCTCAGCAGGGGATCTCATTTTGGTGGCAGGAGAACTCAAAACTGACAAATGAGAAATCATGGTCTAGTGTGCTATCATGCATATGATGAGTGGCAGACTCTAATGGGTTGAAAAAGTAACAGATGTCACCATAGGAGCCATTAAGAGTTAATAAGAAAATAGATTCCCATGGATACCTCACAGAATTATTTTTGTAAATTTCATTAAAGAAATATTCTTTCTATGATTATTGAAAGTGATTAAAATTTTATATATTTTTCTGTGCTGAGGATCAAACTCAGGGCCTTGCACATGCCAGGTAAATATACTACTACTGAGCTACATCTGAGGCTACAAGTTTTATAGTTTTGTTAAAGGATATTTCTATTTAACTAAAGGGCTGTGAAGTTATGGTTTCAATATAAAGGAGAGTTAAGTGGGCAGTGGCTATCTTGAATATTTGGGAAAATTTTGCTGTATATTCAGACAACACATCTAGTAACAAGCAGACCTCAAGTGCAGGAGTAAAGACTTTGCATTTCTACAATAACAATAAGTTTGATAAATAATAGTTTTCAGTCATTCAGTTTTTCTGGGTACTGCTTACTCTACCTCTTTTGATGTAACTTTAATGATGTTTGTCTGTGGACCAGCTGTGTTCACCTTCCCTGATTTCTCATCAGGCTGCACTCAGGCATACTGAATAAGTATCTGAATTGTAACAAGATCCACAAGTGGTTTGTGTGCACATTAATTTGAGAAATATGGGTCTGGATGATGCTGAAAAGACACTAGTAAGTAATGTGAAGTACATGATTTGAAGCATGTGCATTTGGATTATTGAAACCATAGAAGAGATACTAAATATGGTGAATTTATATGTGTTTGCTGCCTCACTAACTAACAGAGTCTGCCTAGACCTCTCTGGCTTGCCACATTTGGTTGTAGAAGAGTCTGTCTTTCCAAGTGGTTTAAGAGTTCCTGGAGAATGGAGATAAAAATCTATGTCTTTATGAATTTTAGCAAGTATGAGCAGAGTAGGTACTCCATAATTGTTCAATAATCACTTGCACATTCAACAAACATCTAGATGTTGTATATTGAATAAGACCTTTTCCCTGGGGAGAGATGGACAAGAAGCCAATTAAGTGGAGGTAAACATTACTGGGATTAAGACAGAAAGACATCTAGGTAGAGTAGACGCCTCAAGGAGGGAGAAGTCAGTTGGGTTTGAGGGTGACGGTGGCAATATTAGGGGCTTCATAGAGGAAAGATGGCTAGAAAAGTTATCCACATAGTGGAAAAGGTTGAAGAAATGCTTGATGTTGTGAAACAACATGGCAGAAGCAGGGGCCTCTGTGTGGATATCATGTAAGTAAGAAAATATTGCAGGCAATGAAAAATACCAGTAGGAAAAACTGAAAATGCATATGCATCTTCTACTGCAAAGGGCAAGCCCTCCACCAAAATGTGACATTCACTCAGCACTGAGTGGCTTTTCCCAAAGAGGGTTCTTCTGTGGAGTGTTCTCTACAAAATCTTATTCCATTTGATTTAGATGTAGTATTTTCCCCTTTGACTCTGTGTCCAAGTTGGGTTAGAGTGAAGAGGTTCAGTAACTACCCAGTCAATGTGTTAAATATAGAAAAATGTGATTCTTTGGCAGTTTCTGAAAGGCCTTGTTCAACTGACGGCAAACTCATGCCTTTGATGTGAACTTTGAGTTCAGCCTGTAGATCCATGAAATGACTAAGGTTCAGGAAGTTTGAGCCAATCATTCTTTCTCTATTCATGATCAGTACTTCTTCTTACAGTTGAATTGACCATTAAAAAAATCTGTATCTTTTATAGTGGAGCCCAAGAGCATCTTGGTAGGCTAACAAGTAGTCTTTAAAGTAGATTCAGCTGAGAACTCATATTATCATTCCCTTATCATTGAGAAATAGAACAGGATCTGTGAATCCCAGAGGTAAAATTCCCTAAACTGTGGTTTTTATGACTGATTTTCAGATAGATACCCATTAATGAGAGGGTTATTTATATCATAAGGCTAAACCTAATCAGCTGGGGGTGGGGAAGAGTCAGAAGAAAAGAGCTCTCTTCTCTGCAGACCTTTTAATTGTTAATGCTGAGCTGTTACTCTGTTGCTAGCTAATCAAAATTCTCATTTATTAGCATTTGGCCAGATTAGCTACTGTTTTCTAATTAGAACATTGATTTCTAGGGAGCTCAGATGCTGAAAGAGGTAAGTCTTTAGTGACAGCTGTAAAGGGTTAAAGTAAAATGTGTTTCCCTAGACAATAAGATGTATTTGGGGTTCATTTCAAAGACATGCTGGTTCTTTTTCATGACATAGTTGACTTTTTTAACACCCTATTGTGAATCAGGGTTTGACCAAGGGCAGACTGACACTGGTGATCAAGTAGACAGTCTGAGCCCAGGACTATGGACAGAATGTCTTCAACTTCAATATAGTTGCACTAGATTTCCCACCCATATGACTACAGAATTAGAAAAATGAAATTAAAATCAGCTCCCAGAAGTTATTATCAGCAATCTCAGTGTTATAACATTATTTAATAAATTCAAAACCTGGTGGCAAGAGATGAGGACTCTGGACTGAAGGAGGGAGGCTGCTTGGCTCCAAGCCTTACTCTGACTACCAGGTTTTCACAGCCTTACTATGAGTCAGCACAGTCCTGAGGGTTTTGATTTGTCTTTCAAAATCTGAAAACAAACAAACTGAATTAAAACACTGATCTTCTTCTTCTGGCCAAAATAGGAGAAATAACTTCTGTGAAGAAATGGGTGAAAAGGGTCTGTACCTCAAAAAAGGTAGATATTCTGTGATTACAATTGTGAAATGGTACAAAACTTAAGAGAATTTTCCATGGGAATGAGATGCACCTTCAGTTAAGAGAGAGTGGAAGACTTAACAGAACTTAAAGGAAGAAGCAGAAACCAAGTGCTTTGATAAAGATGGCCCATCTTCTCAGCTAATCACCTCCTCCCTCCACTCTCTTTGTGAGTACTAAAGAACAGACAAAGTGAAGTACACTGGTCTCAACTATAGGTCAGAGAGAAATCAGAGTTAGATTGAGAAGAGTCAAGATTTTGTCTATTAGAGCAAATGGAATACCTGGAGAGGAGCTATGCAAGTACGAACATGAAGAAAAACAAAAAAGCCTTAAGAAGGAAGGCGGAGGGAGGGAGAGAGAGAGGTATCACACACAGAAAAGAAAAAATGAAGGTACACAATGAATTTTCTCACAATCATTAAGGGAACAAATTAATGATGAAATCATGTCATTATAGAACACACAACAATCATTAACTGCAAGAAGCAGAATAGAAGAACAGACACTGTGAAAAATAAACTAAACAACATAGAAGACATGCTTGAGATAATCAAAGAAAATGCCAGCAGAAAAGAGGAAGTTATTTAGAGAGAAGTTAATAGTTATTGAATACAAAGATGATACAACATAAGGATAATTAGTTTCCTTAAAAGAGAGAACACCCCCAATAAAACTGACTATATAGTCATAATATAAGAACATTTTACTTAATCGAGGAAAAATCGAATCTGTATATTGAAAGAGAAATTATGCTCTGTGATAATTTGATACAGAAGTCTTACTGCCTAGGAATTTTAATAAATTAAATTTTAGGACAAAGAGAAACTTATCAATCATCTAGAAAAAAATGCAGATTAGCAAAAAGTGAGGGAATCAGCTGCCTTTGGATTTCTCCACAGTATCTATTGGTTACAATGCACTGCTAATCAATATTTTCATAGTCCTGAGAGAAAAAATTTGATCTAAGAACAACTAAGATATTGTGCAAGCCAAGGGCAGGCAGCACACATTGACAGACACGAAAGACCTCAGGGAATACAGTAGCTTTCATAAACTACTTGGAAAGTGATATAAAGTTTCACTGACTCAAACAAAGAGCTCAGAAAGAGAGACGAGGTGGTAAAAGTTCTGGTGGTGAGAAAAAAATCCATATAAGTGAAGCATCATTGGGAACAAAAGTTACAGAATGAATCTGAAAACTTAAAAACTTGAAAACAATAATCACTGTAAGAAAAATTAGGCATAAAGGAGGAAAGAGAAGCAGGGGATGAAAGTACTACAGTTTTAATGTGTTGAGCTTCCATAGTTAATTAACACCATCTAAAGTTAAAACATAATTTAAAATATATAATTACTTTATTCTTTTAATGGTTTTCATAATTTTTAAGTAACTTTAGAGAAGTCTGTTAGAAAATGATGTCTAGTATGAGAAAACATTTATTTGAAATTTAATAAGTTTTTCTGTTGTAACTTGGTTTTGTCTTCTATTCATATGCGGACTTTAGATCTAGGGCAAATGCAGCAATGTGGTTGGACTTGGGTCACATGACAAGGGGAGAGCACATATGGGAGGTATGGGGATAGGTAAAAAACACAAACCATGGAAGTGTTTGATGTCCCCACTCCAGAGGAACTAATACAGAAACCTTAAAGTGACAGAGGTTATCATGAGAATGGGGTCAGGAACCAGTGTAAAGATCAGTTAGAGATGAATCAACGTGGGTCGTAACTCATGGGTACATGAGAGCAATAGGAGGAATCTTTCTGTATAGCTATCCTTAACTCAACTAGCAAAAATGCTTTGTCT